TACTGTTTTTCACATCAATTTTCGTGAATTTCATCACATCTCATTTTCTTTTATTTTAACATCAATTTACGATCATCATACGTCCTTAATTTTTTTTAAAATGAAGCACTGAAAATATTTTTTTAGTAACCACAAATTGTTAATTTGTTATACCACGTACTAAAAGTTTCAATTGTGGAAACAATCGGTATTCATAAGGGAACCAAAAAAAATTATTTTGATTCAATATCGATATCTGATAAATTCCAAATTTTGACTTAATTAGCAGAATCATACTCTGTACATCTACATCGCTGCTTTTATAAGTATACTATGAGATGGGATATAGTTCATGCGAATAAATATAATTAATTTAAATAAATTTCAATAAATTTTATTAATTTCAATAATATTTTATTCTCATCAAAATAATATTTATTCTCATCAAAACAAATATTATTCTCAAATAAAGATTTTAATGACATTTACTAGTCAATTAACTCATACAATTCAAACGTATTTATAAGCCAATACCGGTTACAATTGAACATTTAGTCTCTCAATTAATGACATTAATTGAATTTAATTAACTTATAACACCCATAAAGTATGAAATCACTATCATTTACGGAGTATTACACTTTAAATCCAATTTATGGAGAATATGGGCAATTAGTCAACTAAACTATAGTGGTTATATGTTAACGGTTATATTGAGAAAAGTGCTAGCCTACTAATGATTTTGATATGATGGTCTTTTGGCATTTCTTAAAATATTTTAATGTTTACATTGGATCACATATGATCTATTCATTCATACTAAATTGATAAACATAAATCATACAAAGACATTAAAAAATTAACAATGGTGGAAATTATTTAATGGGAATACAATCAGATCCAATTAACAAAAATCCACAAATATATGCATAGTAGTAATAAATTTGATAGCTTATTTTAGCTTATCATGAGTTATCATTTGAGTGTGTTGTGGTTTTTATTTACTCTAGTTTTAAGAATCCTAAATGGAACATATATACATATTTTACACTTATTTTGTATGTTTAAGACATGTATAAATAATCACCCTTTTGGATCCAATTTTCATAAAACCAATTATTATATCATTGATTCTACTCATATTTGTATCATACTTCTTCTCATAAAAAAAACAATTGATATATGACCAAAGTAACATATATTTTGGTATTTATGAGAATGCATAAATATCCGAACGTTCATACTTATAATATGATCTATTTATGGGATATAATAAAATTACATGTATATTTATGTGTATGGTAAATTTGTTAAATGAATGTGCATAGCCAACTTATGGGATAATTTATGTTGCATGTACAGATACATAACAATATTTCTATTGTTTTGAATCACTTAAGCTAATGATATGTTTTTAAGAACCATATTTTCTGATGGATAGTCTACCCGGGGGTATATATCCGAAGGGTTACTACGGGGAGTAACTTAGAGAGAAGTCAGAGCAAATAAGTAAGAGAGTGAGAGAGTGTATATTCGGTATCTATTAAGAGTGGTTACAAATGGGGAAATGGGGTGCTATTTATAGTAGCAATAAATGCCGGGCAGGGACACGTGTCAAGCGCTCATTGGCCGAGGGGTCACCTCAACTGGTTGGCGCTGGCAGCCGCATGTGGCCGCATTTAATGCGGCTGTTGGATGGGACGTCTGTGCGGGGTACGGTGATCTGTACGCATGTGAGGCAGATATCCTGTCGAGTAAGGTGCCTTCGGCCATAGAGCAGTAGCCGAGGGCTCTTCCTCCCGATGGCACCCCTGGTGCCGAGGGCTCCAAGTGCCGAGGGCTACTGTTTTCGCCGTTTTCTCCTAGTTTCTTAGTTTGCTTGAGAAACTCGCTCTGTGATAATTTGGAGCCTTTGGCCAGGGGACCAAAGGCACCCCTGTGCGTTGTGCGGACTGCTTGGTACTCTGGGCGCTGTGATTTGGGCCTGTTGGGCCTGTTGGGCCTTTGGTGGAGTAGTAGGAGTCTGTGGGCCGGGGGTTCCCGGGCCATATACTCCATCAGGAGTCCCTCACTCCTTTTGCCGAAAGGTACTTGAGGGAAAAGGAGTAATTTGTGCTTGCCCTTTGATGTTGTCCCGTTGTGATCTCTGAAGTTGGTGAGGAGTTGCTGCTTTTATGTCCCTGCCGAAGGCAGTCCCTCAGTTACCCACATGTCGGGACTTGAGGGCTTGCTTTGTTGTTTGTTGGAATTTCACAGATTTTGTAATTTAATGACTTTTCCGAAGGGGTCCTCCAGTCCCCCACTCCTTGAGGCACTTGTAAAGTGGTGAAAAGGAGTGAAGTAGTTACGTTGCTGTTGTGGGCCGAAGGCTGACGCTTTTCGTTTCATTTTGGGGGGATGCCTCGTTAAAAACCTCATTAGGAAAAACCCTTTGGGAAAAAATCCTAATGAGGGAAAAAGAGTGCACCGAATTCCCCCAATGATGAAGCGAAAATGCCAAACCTTGGCAAAAATGGAGAATGGCGGGAATGCCGAAGGCTCTCTCTTCTGAGGACTCCTGTGTTGATTAGCCGAAGGCTTGCTGTTGATGTCCTGGTGGTGCCGAAGGGGAGCCCCTCGATCCAGGGACCGAGGGCTTGCCAGATGAGGGCAGCAGTGAAGTTGTTACCGGGGGGCCCACTGTTTGTTGATGAGTTGGTGATGAGGATACCCGAGGGCTCCCATTACCTGTGTGCCATGGGCCATCCGTCAATGAGGCATTCCCCGGGGGCTACCCGGTTTTGTAGTGCTGAGGGGGAAGCCCCGAGGGGTGCCCTGATATGCAGCCCTAGGATCTGAAGGGGTGATCCCGAAGGCTTATGTAATGTGCTGTGTGGGGCACAACCCGGGGGCACTTCTGGGTGAGTGCACCCGGAGGCTATCTTTGATGGAGTGGAGTGAAGTAGAAAACCCGGGGGCTTCCAAAATATAGCCGTTGGAAATATGGCCGTTGGAATATGTAACGACAGGATATAGCCGTTGGGGGGGGACACGTGGCGTGTCATGGCTGGCTGTCCGTGGGCGGCGTCACCGGTTGGGTGAAACGGTGGTGTGTAATGATGGCGTCCACCCGGAGGCCCGGAATCCAGGCCCAAGCCCGGATTCATCGCCTATAAATACCCCAAGGCCAGGCATTTCTCTGTGTGCGAAAAACCTGTTAGCGAAGCTCTGCCCATTTTTCTAGAGAGAGAAACAGCAGCCCTCGGTTGAATCCTCCGTTCTTAAGGTCAGTTCTCCCCTTGCCCTTCAGCCTCTTAGCTACCTGTACTGTGCCCTTAGGTTAGGAGATAGAAACTTTTAGAAAACACTAGTGTCCGCGAGCCTTCGAACCAGAGTCAGCATGTCGTCCCAGAGTGATTCCCAGGATATTTCGGGGGAGCCTTCGGTAGAGATGGTGACATGCTCAGATGTGGAGTCTTCGAGTGTGGAGTCCTCGGCAGCTGATGATGCCGCAGTGGCTATGGAAGTGGAGAAGGACCTCCAGGCCGAAGTCGAAGCCGAGGGCTTCGAGCAAGAGAACGAGGATGAGGAGCTTGCCCTTGCCGTGCAAACTGCCGAGCAGGAAGAGGAGACGGAGCGGCTGAAGGTGACGGTTGCCATTCCTCCCCCCCGGGGTGCCGGGGAAGCCAGCTCCTCCCGGCCATTGGACCCGACACCAATAAGTGTGGCTCCCGGGAAGAAAAACAAGACGAAGGCGGCCCCGAGGAAGAAGCAAGCGGCAGTAGATGCCGGGCGGCCGGTGGGCATACCCGAGGGCCATTCATTTTTGAACACTGCTGCACTAGAGCTGAAGACGAAGGCGTCCCCGGCAGAATACCAGTCCACCCAGATGCTGGTGGGGCCTTCAGCGCGCGTGGTGGAGCCCAGGGCCGATGATTTGCTGCGATACGCGCCCGAGGGGTGCTTTGCTGCTCACACCCTCTCGGTGGAAATGGGGCTCCGGTTCCCGCTCCATCCTTTCCTCTTGGAGTACCTGAGATTTGTGGGGTTGGCCCCTTGCCAGCTGACGCCCAACAGCCACTCCTATGTGGCCGGCTTCCTTTCCTTGTGTCAGAGCCGGGGGGTCGAGCCCACACTCGACCAATTCTTCATGTCCTTCAACCTGTGCCGGGGGGGACATTCAAATGCTGAGGGCTTTGCCAACCTTCAGCAGGTACCGGAGTTCCGGCTTTTCGATGATGTGCCCTCGTCTCACAAGGGGTGGAAGGAGAGGTTCTGTTATATCCGCCTCGAGGAGAATCCCTTCCCGGCCCAACTCCGTAATAGCTTCCGGCGCCACCCGAAGGTGGGGAGCGCAGCTTTGGAGAAGAACGGCAAAGTGCTTGCCAAGAAGCCGGAGGGGTCTGACAAGCATGTCAAGATCAGAGAAGTCACCCTTCCGGGGGATCTGCTTAACCTAGGCTTCCGGCAGTTCAGGCCGAGGGGTTCCTCGGATGAGAGATACCCTCCCCTCGATCGGGTCTTCGAAGGTGCCGGAGGTGATCACCGAAATGTTCACTGATGCGTTGATAGTTCTTTCGCATTCCGCCTGTTTTTTTTATGACGTAGTGACTGGTAGCCTTCGATTTAACCCTTCTGTTTTTTTTTGTTGCTTGCAGGTAGCAATATGGACGTTGGTTCCCTCTTCGCTTTAAAAAACGCGAAAGGAAAGAAGAAGGCCCCGGCGGGCGCTCCTTCTAGGGAGGGGCCCTCTCAAACTGTTGGCGCTGCTGCTGGCGCCGGAGGGTCCGAGGGTTCCGGGCCCGTAAAAAAGAAGGTTGCTGGAAAGGGGGCCGAGCCCCCGGCCAAGAAGCCGAAGACCGCCGCCCCTACCAAACAACCGATCACCGATGTGGTGGTGATTGTTGACGAAGGGCACGCTTCTGCCTCCACCCCCCAGGAACAAATCAATCAGGAGTTCTTTGGGAGGGAGAGGTTGGAGGCGATAGTACCGAAGGGGGCCTCCGTGTTGGAGGGCAGTTTGAACCCTTCGGCTTTGATGAGCCAGATGCTGCCGTCGGCCGACCGGCTGGCCCTTGCCCGGCTAGACGAGGGACCTCTCGAGGCGAAGGTCCTCCTGAATGCCGCCTCCGTAAGTCCCCCTCTCTTCCCTGCTCATTGCTATGTTTTTCTTCCGTACTCTGTTCCTTATGCTTTATTTTTGCCTTCGTGAATTGCAGGCTTTCATGGGCCTCTGCGAGCACCTCCGAAGGGTGGATCAAATGAGGGAGGCCAAGGGTGCCGTCGAGGAGGAGGCTGCCCTCCTCAGGAAGAAACTCGCTGAAGCCGAGGACTCTCTACGGCTGGCCATCGATGGCGTGGAGCAGAGGTTGCAGGCAGCAAGGGCCGAAGGGGTCAATGAGGGGCTAGCCAGGGCCGGGGAGGCCGCCGCTGAGGCCGCCCGTATCGCTGCCGATGAAGCCCGCGCGGCTCAAGAAGAGGCCGTCTCCAAGGCCCGAGAGGATGCGGTGGCCAGCTTCGTGGCCGAGGGGTGGAAGGCCGAAGACCGGAGGGAGTGGCTGGCTTCGGTGGTGGGGGCTTCAGTAGATGAGTGGGTCGGGGCCCCCGGGAAGATGTGGCTTGCTGAGAGGGGCGACTCGTACTACCAAGGCGGGGAGTTCTTCACCCAACGCCTCATCTACCGGAAGCTTGCGAAGCACTTCCAGGTGGCACCGGAGGAGTTCCGTCCCGAGGCTTATGGCCTCCCCCCCGCCAGCCAGATGTCAGGATCCCGCTCCCCGAGGGGGAAGAGAGACCGGTTCTTGAAGACTCGGAGACCCTCCGGGAGTGCGGCCTTGGTGGTGAAGAGGATGAAGCCGAGAGTGAGGCGATATCTACAGTTCCCCCCTCTTAAATTATACTTCCCCCTTTTGGTGTTGTAATTTGTTGGCCTCGGCCCCCTTTGTAAAGCACAATCAAACTACTTTTTTCTTTGTTGAATGAATGAGTACACACGCCCTCGGGCCCCTGTTATACAATCTGTTTCCTTTAGATTTGTCTATCGCCGAATGCATGCCTTCGTCTTGATTTGGATGTATGTCTTGATATTTGGAATGTATGTTTACGGACTTAGAATGTTTTCTGATTGTAGTTTGCCACTGGAAGCCTTCGGTAGTTGGGCACCCTCTGCTGGATATGCAATTGAGGGTTCTGTAGGAATTAGGACTTAGAAAATTTCCCTAAGTGTAGCACAGTATGGGGCCTTCGGGTGTTTGTAGTGACCCAATCCATAGGACTTAGAAAAATTTCTAAGTGTAGATCCCACCTTGAGAGCCTTCGGGATACGGCGTCCCTTCCTGACGTGTGAATGTTTGGACCGAGGGCCCAATGCACAGAACTTAGAGATTTTTTGCAAGTGTAGCATGCCATGTAGCCTTCGGCTACTGTGGAGTCCCAACTGAAATATTGAATAGGCCGGGGGCCAATTCCTTGTGTACCGTAGCCTTCGGCAATTAGATCCCTCGAGATGAGGGCGAAATATGTAGAACTTAGAGAATATTCTAAGTGTAGAGTTTCCCTCGAGAGCCTTCGGGAGGTGTCATACCTCCATGATGTATGAGTACCTGACCGGGGGGAAAGCATGTAGGGCTTAGAAAATATTCTAAGTGTAAAGTCTCTCTTGGGAGCCTCCGGGAGATGGCATCCCTTCTTGATGTATGAGTAGTTGACCGGGGAAAACATGTAGGACTTAGAAAATATTCTAAGTGTAAAATCCCCCTTGGGAGCCTTCGGTAGATGGTATCTCTCCTTGATGTAAGAGTAGTTGACCGGGGGGGGGGGGGGGGGATATATGTAGGACTTAGAAAATATTCTAAGTGTAAATTTTCCCTTGGGAGCCTTCGAGTGATGGCATCCCTCCTTGATGTAAGAGTAGTTGACCGGGGTGCCTTCGGGTGATAGGTGCCCTCTGATTCCACATCACTTTGCGAGATGCCCGGGGGCTACTCATTTAGGACAGAATATTTTTTTAAGTGTTGTTGTATTGCATGGCCTTCGGCCACCATATTCCCTTGGCTGTAACATTGATTGGGACGGGGGCCCAATCGTTAGGACTTAGAATTTTTTCAAGTGCTGCTTCCCTGTGTAGCCTTCGGGTGCCCGGGGGCTGCTCCTTCAGGATTTAGAATTTTTTCTAAGCATACATTGATGTTGACTCCTGTTGTTGTGAAGAAAGCCAATGAGGGTTGTGTGCCCTCGGCATACACTTCAAAAGTCGTAGAATTTGATCCTTGTCATGGGGAAAGGGCCCTCGGTATTTGTGCATAACGGATGCCTTCGGTGTTTGTTTGAAGTACCGTTTAGCGGACCTTGGACAGTCCAGTCCCTTTGTGTTGTTGAAGCCTTCGGTGTCTTTGTTACCGGAGGTGACCAGGTAGTGGACTTAGCCGTTTCCTGATGATATTTCCTTGAGTAGTATCCTTCGGGAAATAGGAGTCTTCAATGGCCGGAGGTGTTCCCGTGGGGAGCCCTCGGCATGTTGTGATTTTGTTGGAGTGTACTCTTTGATTTCTCGCTGAGTCTACTCCCCTTCACCCCCCCCCCCCTTTTTTTTTTCTTTTTTTTTTTTGGTTGGTGGTGAAGGAAGGCATCAAGAAACTTGGTTTCTTGGTAAGGCTGGGCCTATTAGGAGACCATCAGAATACACCAATGGCTCTCCTCCCTCGGGTTAACCTTCCGAGTGCCGAGGGGATCGAGGGACGTTTCCTGGGCACAAGATATGGTGGTCCGTAACCTGCCTCCCCTTGGGGGATGGCGCGGAAAGCGCCTCATTTTTGAAAGTCGTCCCCTCGGCGGTAGACATAGTCTGTGGCCTGCCACACCCTTGGGGTGGTGGCGCGGGGAGCGTTTCGGTTTGGAAGTCGAATCCTGGGCATTTCTCATGCCTGTCATACCCTGGGGGTAGTGACGCGGATAGCGTTCCGTTTTTGAAAGTCGAATCCTGGGCATTTCTCATGCCTGTCATACCCTGGGGGTAGTGACGCGGAAAGCGTTTCAAGGAAGGGTTTTCATTTGCACACTAGTTGCAAATGGCCGGGGGCACTACGTGCCGCCGGCACCGATGGTGGCGCCTTCGGTATATGCGTCCTCGCGGGGTACGGCTTTAGAAACAACACTTGGTGTTAGTTTCGATGTGTAGCCCTCAGTACTTGGTACCGAGGGGTCTTCTGTAGGAACACTTGGTGTTCTGTAGGAACACTTGGTGTTCTCTTTTATCGTAGTTGATGGAGGTGCCTACCCTCGGTACTTGGTACCGAAGGGTCTTCAAATGAAACACTTGGTGTTTCCCGACAAATGTTTGGAAGTTGATAGGAGAGTATATCCCTGGCACTGGGTGCCGAGGGGTCTTCTTTGATGATGTTTGATGATGGAGGTGTACCCTCGGCACTGGGTGCCGAGGGGTCTTCTGTAGGAACACTTGGTGTTCTAATCTTTTCTTTTTTGATGTTGAAGGTGGGGAAGTACCCTCGGCACTGGGTGCCGAGGGGTCTTGACTGAAAACACGTGGTGTTTCTATTGTTTGTTGCAAGTGTTGATGGTGTCCGCCCTCGGCACTGGGTACCGGAGGGGGTTCTCCTTGTGGTGAGGCCTGGGGCCTGTAGTCAGTATGAGGGCTTGATGTCTCGAATGTATCTTCATTCTTCGAAATTGGAGGCCTTGGGCCATTGGATAGTACATTCACTAGTTATGAGGGCTTGGCCGCTCTTACATTATTGATAAAATTTAACTAAATGGTGTACATTCCAGTGCCTAGGGACCTCTTTCCCGTTGGGGCGTTTGAGTTTGTAAGTCCCGGTTTGATGATGGTTGCTATGATGTAGGGGCCTTCGAATTTTGGTGCCATTTTTCCTCCCTCGGTTGGTTGGCTGGCTTCCCTCCTCCGGAGGACATAGTCCCCCACTTGAAATTCCCGGGTTCGAACTTTGGCGTCGATGTAGCTTTTAACTTGCCTTCGGTAGTTTTCTGCCCGGATGAAGGCCTGCTCCCGGCGTTCTGAAAAGAGGTGCAGGTCGAGGGCCATGTTGCTGTCGTTGACCTCGGGGTCATATTGGATCACCCTTCGGGTAGGAAGGGTGACTTCCGTAGGAGCTTTGGCTTCAAAACCGTAGCAGAGGGAGAAGGGTGTTTCACCTGTAGCGCGTCGAGGGGTTGTGCGGTAGGCCCAGAGGATGTTGTGAAGTTCTTCCACCCAGCCACCTCCCTCGGCCTCCAGCTTCTTTTTGAGGCCCCCGAGCAAGGTCCGGTTGGCGTTCTCTACCTGCCCGTTGCCTTGAGGGTAGGCAACGGAGGAGAAAGTGTGTTTGATGCCCCATGCCTCCAGAAGGGCACAGAAGGGGGCTGCCTCAAATTGTGTTCCATTGTCGGAGATGATCTGCTGGGGGACGCCAAACCTTGTGAGGATGTTCTTGAGGACGAAGTGACGGCACTTCGCCTCTGTGATGCTGGCGAGGGGTTCAGCCTCCACCCACTTGGTAAAATAGTCGACGGCCACAATGATGTATCTGTTGTTGGAGGTACCCCTCGGCAGAGGGCCCACAAGGTCTATCCCCCATCGAGAAAATGGGACAGATGTGGTGATGGGGGCATAGTTGACCGCTGGCCTGCCGGGGGCTTTCTGGAAATGTTGACATGCGGTGCACCTCCGGGCAAGGTCAGCACAATCCCTGGCCATGGTTGGCCAGAAGTAGCCCTGGAGAATGAGCCTTCGGGACATGGAGAAGGGTCCCTGGTGAGCTGAGCAAGTGCCACTGTGCACTTCCTCCATTGCGACCTCGGCTTCATCTGGATGAAGGCACCGAAGTAGCGTGCCATTGTAAGATCGTTTGTAGAGCCTTCCATCTACGATGGTGTAGCTGGGAGCCCTCAGCTTTGCCAGTTTAGCGCGGGCCTCATTCTCGGGTAGCTGCCCTGTGGAGATGAAGGTGGTGATATCTGAAATCCAATCCTTCTGACGTTGTTGTACGTTCATCACGGGGCTTGCATGGATGCTTGAGAGGCTGAGTTCCTCGATTTTGGCAATCTTGGAGATGTGCTCGGGGGAGTCTGCCGAGAGTTTAGATAATATGTCGGCCTCGGAGTTCTGAGCCCTCGGTATTTGAGTGAGAGAGTGTGCCTCAAATACCTTAAGCAACTCCTTGGCTGCTTCCTTGTACTGTTTCATTCTTCCTTCCTTGGCCTCATATTCTTCGGAGATTTGGCCAACGACCAACTTGGAGTCGCATTTGATGTGGATCTGCCGAGCCCTCATGCTGGCAGCCAGCCGAAGGCCACATAGGAGGGCTTCATATTCGGCCTCATTGTTGGAGACTTTGAAGGAGAAGCGGATTGCATAGTAGGCCCTGAAGCCCTCGGGAGTAATGAGGACTACCCCTCCCCCGCATGCTTTGGTCGCGGAGGAGCCGTCAGTGTAGAGGGTCCACCAGTCGTCCGAGGTTGCCGAGGGCTCCCCGTCCGTGGCTGCCCTTGCGGTACATTCCGTCACAAAGTCCGCTAGGGCTTGGCCCTTGATGGCAGGCCTTGGACGGATGTCAATGTTGTACTGGCTCAAGAAGATAGCCCATTTAACCATGTGGGAGGAGCTGGTGGGGCTCCTCATGAGGGCGCCGAGGGGTTGATGAGTGAGGACCTGAACCGGGTGAGCCTGAAAGTAGTGGCCCAACTTCTTGACAGTCCAAACGATGGCCAACACCGTTTTTTCCACAGGGGAGTACCTGAGCTCGGCCTCCCTTAGGGTCTTGCTAACGTAGAAGATGGCATGTTGGATGCCGTCTTCCTCCCGGATGAGCACAGAGCTGATGGCCGTCGGGCTGACCCCAAGGTAGAGGTAGAGGGTCTCCCCTACCTTGGGTTTGGAGAGCACATGAGGTGAAGATAGATATCTTTTGAGCTCGTCGAAAGCCCCCTGGCATTCCGGAGTCCATAGAAAGCCAACCGTCTTCCTCATGATCTGGAAGAAGGGTAGAGACTTCTCCGCCGATTTAGATAG